TATATATATATTACATTTTAGGGGAAGCTGAGCTTCCCTTGCAGTCTCAGAGCAATCGCCTCTGCCCTGTACCAGCTCTTCATGGAGAACAATCTGCAGGACACCTTCAGAGACTGACTGCTGAAGACTCTCATCACATCTCCTCTAACCACAGCTGAATCTGAGAGGAGCTGAACACTGAAGACAATCCAGACTTTCCTCAGGTACAACATCACATCTCACACTGACCATGCTCTATAGAGAAGAACCTCATTAAAACATCCCTGACTTAGAGTCATGAAGAAATTTGCTTCTCAGTCACAGAAAAGCTAAATTTATGTACTAAAAATAAAACACTATATGACATTGTAATGCTGTTTTATTATTTTCATTTGTTTAATAAATACAATGTTGTGATACAACTTAGTACATGTTTGATTGCTTTTTGAGATTAGCCTATTTTGGAGTTGTAGCCCCACCTGGAGAAAAATCCACCAGCTGCCACTGCTGAATATACTGAATGACCAGGTTATTTCATCAATGGATTGTTTCTTCCCTGATGGCACGGCCATATTCCAAGATGACMATGCCAGGATTCATGGGGCTGGAATTGTGAAAGTGGTTCAGGAAGCACGAGACATCATTTTCACACATTGATTGGCTCCACAGAGTCCATTGAGAGTCTTTGGGATGTGCTGCAAGGCTTTGCTCAGCGGTCAGACTCTAWCCTCATCAATACAAGAGCTTGGTGAAAAATTAATGCAACACTGGATGGAAATAAGTCTTGTGACATTGCAGAAGCTTATTCAAACAATCCCAGAGTGAATCAAAGCTAAAGGCGGTTCAACAAAATATTGGYGTGTGACCTTTTTTTGGTGGCAACATTTTTTGGCCAGKACGTTTGTTGTTCATAGCCACGACTGCCCTGGAGTAGACTGACGGAGGCAAGGTTGCCATACAACGGTGCCACCAGGCCCTCTGACCACCACCAGTGGACCAAGAACACAACAACTTAGACAGATAGACTTGAGGATTGAAATGGCAACACACCACAGGATGAAMCCCTCGTTCAAAAGGCCACAAGACATTAAATTACTTATTATTCCAGTTTAAAATAACTGGAATAATCTTTATAATTTTTAATGTAAATCAATTAATCTWTTTCTGTGTTTATTACTAAAACTATAGCTTTTGATCTATTTTTTTACATTTTAAACTAATTAATAT